GGCACATAGTTTTGGGACTTGAGGGTACGATGAACCCTAGTTCAACTCAGTGCTAAGGCTACTCCCAAGTGAATATAAAGATAAAATGCAACTAAAATATTAAGTAGCTCAAAATACTGATAACTATCTGAGAATGCAACATACATATATTGAAAGATATGGCATTCAAATTCTGAACTAGGATTGTCTGACTAATTTGCCTAGCAAGTATAATTCATGAAATACTAATAATTAACACAGTTGAGGTTTTTTATTTTTATACATAGGACTATACTAATTTTCCAAGAAACATGTAATTAACATCATAGAAACTATAGCAACTAAATGCAATGGATCCCTAAGATTTAGGAACCCTAGGTCTAACAATTTATGGAGAAGCTGAAGAATTGACTGAATTCTAGGGACCTAATAGGGGAAAGGAATCCACTAGTGAAATCCCACATACCTGATGAAGAAAATTATGGATAAATCCTTTGGATTTCGGGGTTGAACTTGAAGAAGACCTCTGCTTGTTCTTAGAAGAAACTGTCGCCTCTCTCTTTTTTTCTTTCTAAGTTAGATAATTTTAGGAGAATGAAGGTTTTAGGTAGTTTCTGACTAAATTACTAGGCTTAGATGAAGTAAAACGATGTTTAAGTACCAAACGACGTATTTTAAGTACTAAACGCAAAGGGGAAAAGACCAATATGACCCTCACTTGAAACTAACGAAGTGACCTTAACAAAGGGCTTGACAGGCCGTCTAAGGCATGATGGCCCGTCTAGTGGGTCGTCATGTTGTCCTACCTGACAAGGCTTCACTAAAATGAGCATAACGTTTTACTCCATGCTCAGAATTACGCAAATTTAGTAGCGTTGGAAAGAGGACTCAACGATCTTTAATTTGATAGGTCGATCCACCTAATTCATTTTATGCTGAAAGATATGATCGTTTGAAGTTGAACAAAAACTCAAAGTTTGATAAGTCTCTTTCACGGATGACTTCACGGTCTGTGTGAAGCTTCACGGACCGTCTAGGCATCTGTGGTCCTTCACAATGACCTTGGGTGCAATCTTACCATCTGGTTGACTTGTACGGACCCCTAGATGGACCGTCCAAGTCATCACAGGTTGTCAAAGGCACCGTCTAGGTGACTCCCTAACAGGTAGTCCCTGTTCACAATGCCATTGATGGGCCGTGAATCCCTAGACGAACCGTCTAGGGTACCGTCTAGGTGACCCTTGCCAGGGTAGTCCTGGATGGTCACTCACAAAACCCTTATCAGACCGTGGACCCATAATGGCCCATCTAAGATGACGTGAAGGGTTCATGGTCCGTTTTGGGTTCGTGGTCTTACCCATTTTCCTTTTTAGCCCTTTCTCGAAGTTTGAGGTGTTACAATAGGATTCCCCCTACTTTTTACTTTTTGAGTTCAAAGTCATTCAAAGTTTGACTTTCTATTTTTTTTACTTAAAAACTATTTTTTAGCCTGTCCAAATGGGCTCTAAACCCATTTCATGAATAGAAGCATGAAATCAATTACAAAAGCAATTGAATGAGAAATCAAATACCCAATGAAATTGTCTATTTCTAGCACAAAATCTAAATTTTAATTAGCAATTACATACACAATTCGTGCAATATAAAGCAAGGGAAAGAAGATAGGATAAGAAATATTACTATTAAGAACACAATCTTCAATACAAAAGATGAATTATGAGGAAACTTGCCTTCAAAGTCTCAACCCAAAATATGAACTCTACAAAGTTTTCTCTCTACAATACTCTCTAGGAATGGAATGAACTTAGATAGATGACCATCTGAATAGTGAATAGTGACTACTGATGAGTGTAATAAGAGTTTTTGAAGTCAATTTGGTGAAATTCCAATTCTGCTTAGGTGCCAGCTTTTACTCTTCGCAGTCGAGACAACTAACTCACGCGGTTGCGATGAGTAGTGTTGTTGAGTCATGTGATCCCAAACACTAACCACGCGATCGTTAAATCTGCAGTTATTATTGAACATGATTGTGATCCCTATTTCACGAGGTTGCGATGAGTAATCAGCTACCAGTTTAACTTTCTTTATTTTGACCTCTTTTTGGTTCAACTTCACTTGACTTCTTCAAATATCTTCTAAATAAACTCTCCATTTCAATTTCCTGCAAATATGAATAAAACCACATTAAAAGCACCAATTCTTACCTAAAGCAAGCCAAAACTAATAAAAAAAAAGAACCTCAAATGAGTGGAAATCGACCACTCATCAACACTCCCAACTTAAAAACTTTGCTTGTACTCAAGTAAAGAAAATCTAAAACACAAGTGGCTCTCATTTCAACACACACCACAATAAATTTCACCTCTTTCAATTAACCACAAAGGTAACGGCTTCCGTTGGTACTCAAAACTATTTAAAAATACTCTAACTATATATATATATATATATCTCAATGCTCAATGTAAAAATACTCGCAGGCTGGGATAAGTTATCAAAAGGACCTATTTAAGAGGTAACTGCTCTGTACTCAATCTTTCCAAAAACTCTTTACCTTTTTTAAAATAATACTCTTTCTCTATGTAAAAATGATACATTTGGGAATCATATAGCTCCCTTAAACTCTTCTTAAAAGTAGGCTTAAACTTTACTCTTGAAATCTCTTTTAACTTCTCAAAATTTATTTATGACAAAAAGATGCTTGTTCAAAAGACTCTCAATAAAAACTCAGAAATTAGGATTCATGTGGGATATAAACATGAGCAACAACTCAAGGATCTCAATGTATAATATATAACAACTCATGATTACAGATTTAGAACTCGAAATCAATAATATAACTCATCTCAAGAATTCTTGAAATTAAGGGTATAACCCTAGATTAAAATTTGACTGACTAAATTTAGATATAGGGAGTGAGGACGAACTCAGCCCATCACTATGATTAGCCTTACATACCTGGAAGAATAAAGTTTTTGGCAAAACTGAAAGAACGCTTGAAAACCCTAGCTTTCTCCACTTGGATCCTTTTTCTAAAACTTTGAAGCGTTAATGAGATTAATAGGGTCAATTAATATTATTTAGAACCTTATTTAGGTGTTAAAACATTAGGTTTAGAAGGGGTGTAAAAAAGACTGAACTACCCTTCTTAAAAAGTTGTCAAAAACCTTCCACAGGGCCATCTATAGCTCGTGGTTTGATCTACGAACCGTAGATCCCATCCGTGGAATTCATACTAAACAGAATTTCATTCTACGGGTCCAAAATGCAACCCGTAAAAGTTTCTTCGGACTGTAGATCCAATCCGTTGAATTCATATTAAATTTTAAGGCTAAAAAGTTCATTCTACGGGACTAAACTACGACACATAGAAGTTTCTATGACCCATAGATAGATTCGTAGAAATCGGACCCTAAAATCTTACTATCTAAAGTTTTTGCATGAGTTGAAAGTAAGGGTTGTAGAAACTTCTACAGCTCGTAGAAAGGATTCGTAGGAATTGACCCACGAAACTCTGTTGTGGTATTCTCTTGTAAAACGGTCATAACATTTTACTCCAAACTTAAAATGAGGCGAACTTGGTGTCTATGGAAAGATTAATTATAGACCTGCAATCATATAGGTTATGGGCCACCTAACTCATTATATACAAAGAGATAAGATCGTTTGAAGTTGACCTAAGTAGAATCTTATGTCAAAACTTTATCGGTAAGGAAGCTTTCAACTCAACTTTGTGCTAGGGGAATCTTGTGACCTTAATTCATAGCCAAATCCATTCCCACACTAAAGAATTGACCTTTACACCTAAGAACAATTTAATAATCACCTGATACAACCTTACACACAAATGATGAATGGTTCGGGCCTTAGCTTAGAAATTTTTGGGGTACTACAAATACCCACTAAGGATAAAACGTTTCTATTGAAAAAAGGTTTCTACTTACCACTTGTTAAGGATAAACAGTGTGTCCTTTATATGCAACAGGACAAGAGTATATAGGTCCGCCATGGGAAAACAAGAACTCATCGAACTATCATTCTTTACTTCCAGGGTCAATCAATCGGTAGTCCTCCAATTTCCTCTCGAATGTTTATAAGAAATAGCTTATTCCACTCAAATTACCCCGGATTCACAAATTAAAAGATGCTGGAATAGGAGTTTCTTGTGTAAACATTCAAGTTGACAATCATCGTCTTGACAGACAAAGAACTTTAACATGATCAAAGTGATAACTGATGTATGGGTGTTGGACTATTTTAGTCCTTCATACATATCACGTAGCAGAAAGTTCTTAATGCACATAAAAATGAATATTTTGCCCTTCATTTATACTACCTTTAATGGTAACTCTTGTACCAATAATCAATTTATGTTTCAACCAGAACACGCCTTAGTCCCTCAAACAATTGCAAACAAAAAACAAAGACAAGAACTTTGAAAATAGTTGCATAGTTTTTAATTGAAAATTTTCAACCAAAATCCACATGTCTAGCAAAACTGTCTTAAGCAGATTAAGAATAGATAAAGGAGAGCAATATTTTTCTAACATAATGGAGTAAGTCTTCAAAAAACAAGTGCAGCAAATCAGAACATCTGATTTGTGAACAGGTCATCCAGATTAAATGTGCCTTCATCGTAAAGGGAGAGTGTTTAAATTGCGGCATACTCCATCACCAAAGTAAGATGAGGGGGTAAAGGGAGGTAACTGAGCTGAAGCCTCCCCTGCAGCTGCATAACCAGACATTCCAGTATGAGCAGTTGGTGCTATCCCAGCATCAGGAGTTGGGGCTTTCCCAACATCAAATATCAAACTGATATCATTGTCTTCATCCATGGAGTGACTGAGTAATGCTTCAAGTTCACTCCCAATTCTAGAGATAGGATGGCTGGAAGTTCCACTGCTAGTGTCAACATTCACCAAAGCATTTTGTCCTGATAGCTCTCCTCCGACAACTGTTGTCATCTGCTCAGCATTGGTGCTTTCTCAAGGAAACATGCTCTCATTGCTACTGTTTGGCACTGCTTATGATCCTCCGCAAGCAAGTCCAATCATGTCCACAGTGTTTGGAACTTGGGAAGTTCCACCGAATTCAGCATCCACACTAATTATATCAAGCACGCTTGGTTTTGCTCTTGCTCTTCTATTCCCTTTGTTGTTTGCTTCAACGCGCTTGAAATATTTTTGGGCAGGGGTAGCTACCTGCATTGCGGCTCTTGTTATAACACAATGCCTAGATATACTCTTCCAGTCACCTTTTCCATATATATCTAATACCCGAAGAAATGACCTATAGCAAGAAATATAGAGAAATAAGTTACTATCCAGGAAACAAGATCGCAAGACAACATTTAATTAAAAGTTTTACTCTCTCAAAGCCTTCTGCATGCACGGTGTAAAATCACAGAGAACACGCCAAAAAACATTAAAACATAAAATGACCAGACTCCCAAAAAAGGCGAGAAAATAAACTCTCAAAAACTGTACACAGGAAACCAACATGTGCTCCTCTTCTATCCAAGGAGTCCCTCTTCGCCATTCAACATATGCTTTCGTATTTTGGTTGACATTTCTTTGCATTTTTGGATAATTGGGTAATGAAACGTGTCCAGAATCGATGGCACCGATATCTTCTAAGAGTATATTGTAGTGATCCTTGATATCATCAAGTGATTTCCCAGGAAATGCTTCTTCCATCTTCATGAATAGATTGTTATCATTAAAGTAGATCGCTAGGGTATTCTCAAAGATTTTATCCTCCTCCCTAGTCCAGAAGGAGCTATTGCATGTCGGATCGATGTTCATTTCTTTTAGATCTACAAGGAAAGACTCAAGCATGAAAATGATAGTTCTTAAAGAGGATTCAGCAAACGGATGAGTGCCAATATATGAAAAAATCAACCATTAATATTAAGCATCTATAATAAGATCTTTTGTAACCCCTGACATTTAGTAAACAAAAACAATCGCAGCAAGACATGTATTCTTTAAATCAGTTACGGATACTAAGAGAAGTGATGAGTTACTGGTAAAAGGAATAAACATGAAGATACATGTGGTATACTACCCACAAAAGTCCCTAGAGATACGAAGCATATTATGAAAACATCTACGTTCTTTACCTTTTCTATTGGATGGAAGGTCTTATATTTGTCTCAAGATAGGAAAAAAATTATATCACTGAAGTATATAATTTTGTTCTTGTTAGTGACGTAAAAGTAAAAGATCTATGGCATGAACCACATAACGGGAAAGAAATCCTGTCAATCCAACACATGTATTCAAAAGAAATCGGTCCTCATTTGTTTATAGGTGTAGGGTTTAGAGTTTCAAGATAAGAACATTATTCTAGATTAATACCTACAACTTTCTCTCTGGAAAAAGTAGAAATTTAACAAGACGAATGTAAGCAATATCATATAGGATAGTGTCATTTCGCATCCCTTCATTATCTACCCCAGAATCCAAGTGATAAGTCAATTATTATGAAATTGTCAATACAGTTTCTGTGATATTTTCTTGTTACTTTTATACAACTTGAAATAGCAAATAGAAAAGGAAAAATCGAGATCCCTTGTCACGCAACCTAACCATTTAAAAACTAGGAACGTGCAATGACAAATTATATCCAGGACAACAAATCAAAAGGAAAGCCATACAAATTATTTTTTTTCCTTTTTTTGAGAAACACTCAAATCTCTACTCATTAACTTTCAACAATGGAAAGCATTTCAAATAAGTGTCCCTGGAAAGTGTTGACATAATTTTTCTCTCTTGAGATAATATAAACAAGACGAATCTCATGATATTCAAGTTGATGAGTATCACTTTGCATCTCTTTAGAATCTACCTCAAAACCAATATCCAAATCAATCATTTTCTTATTGTCTGCAAATTAATGTTCATTTGAATAGAAGATTTATAGAACCAACAATATATCCAGTGTAATCCCACAAATAAGGTCAGGGGATAGTATAGTGTACGTAGACCTTACCCCTACCTTAGGAGGTAGAGAGGTTGTTTTCAATAGACCTTCGGCTCAAGGAAAATCCTATCAAAGCAGATCAAAAAAGAGAAGATTTATGTAATCCCACAAGTGAGGTTTGGGATGGTAAAGTCTACATAGACCTCACCCCTACCTTGGGAGGTAGAGGAACTATTCCAGATAGACCCTCGGACTAAGGAAAAACATATCAAATCAGATCGAAAAAGGAAAGATTTACATAACCAAAAAAATAAAAAAAACATACCTAGTGTAATCTCATAAGTAAGGTTTGGGGAGGATAGATTGTACATAGACCTCACCCCAACCTTGGGAGGTAGAGAGATATTCACAATAGACCCTCGGTTCGAGGAAAACCATATCAAAGAAGATCCAAAAAGGGAAGATTTATTTAACAAAAACAACAAACCAAAAAAGGAAAGCCATAAAAAATCTTACTTTTTCCCTTTAGAGAACTAGTGATATATATCTCTATAAATTGTTTTCAATAGACCATCAACTTAAGGATAAGCATGTCAAAGCATTTTTAAAAAGGGGAAGATTTGCAGAACCGTGACAACAAATCAAAAAATAAATCTTACTTTTTCATAAAATTCATATATCTATAAAAACATAAAGCATGTTAAAGAAAATTACCGTAAATGTTGGCACAAATGGGGCAGAACCTAATGATCACAAAGCACAGTGAAAGAAACCTTTTTGATGAATCAAACTACAGTGATAAGCATCTATGTCTAGTATTCAACCAAAAGGGAGACACACACATATACATATATATAATCAAGAAAAAGAAACTAGAGAATTTTGGGCAAAGAGATTAATTTCACACCTGCGATTTGTCCTTACAACAATCCTAAAGATTCTTGTACTTGTTACTTCACCAAAATGGTGAAATATTTCTTTTAGGGAATTTTATCAATATTTAAAGAGATAAACATATCAAGATTACTATAATCTGAAATTTTTTAACCGTTAGTGTAATACAAACAAAAAGTTTAAATGTGTTGAGTTGTACTTCCTAACCTTCCAAAACACAAAAAAATGTTTTGAGCTTTCGAGGGACATATTGTGGTAAGGGCTAAAGTCGAAGAGGGGGTGATCAAAGTGATGAAAAGGAAAAGCTTCCCTTATTTGTTTTTCCTTATTTGCAGAGGACAATTGTTTTCATATTTGATGGCCAAGTCGGGTAAGATGCTCCGTAATAAAGATGACTTAGTATCCACAGAGAGATAAGTTTCCCTACAGTTTTTTTTATGAATATAACGTATAGAAAGACAGTAGACCATACATTAGCAATTTGACGGGAAAACCTACAAACAAAAAAAGTAGGATACAGCAAGCTAGAGATATTATGAAAATGTAGGATAATAAAAATTATTGGATAATTTATTTCTTGGTCGAACAAATACATTTTATTGAAAAACATCCAGAGCATCATTAGAACATCTCATACAACTAGTCTCAACCTGATCCAAACCTATACAATTCTATACAATTCCTCTTATATAATTTGATATATTCCCTCTATTGAATTCCTATCTTTTGCAAACAAGCTTGTAAAAACAAATGCTCTGTATTTTCAAGATGGTCACCACATAACAAGCATGATGTATCCTGGCACATATATTCATCGATCTTAGCCAATCTCTCCCTTGTCAACAGTCTTCTATCCATTGCAATTCAACTCATAAAAATCCATTATCACTAAATTTATCATTTGTTGTAGTGCAAGTGGACTCCAAATAGATCTGTGTAACTTGAAGATCATTGGATTGGGCCTTTGGGCTTTAAAACAACCATCTAGATGTAATATCCCCACTTTCAAACAAGTTATCTCCTGCAACGATAAAAGTGACTTGATGGTGTAAAAATTACGTATACTAACGGAGCATATAACTTGAGCTAGTAAGAACACAATGTAAAAGAAAAATAATTTATATCATCAAGATTCTAAATACCATCAAAACTTCTGAAGGAGTGTAAGAGAAGACAAATATGGTAATAGAGAGATAATCTGGAGAAAGGGAGTAGGTCTTTTTATTCAGCAAAAGCTTACTACATATAGATACATAAAGTGGCGTCAAATCCCTTAAATCCTGGATATGGACTCCCTGTTTTGTGCCTAAATCAAGCTCCACCACATATTACAATATCTTCTACATTCTAGAACTTTGCAGTAAACATAATTCAAAAGTTATAACAAAAATATCCAGAAAAATGTACTAACATGACAACACTTAGCATCACATACGAAAAAACAACACCCTTCATCACTCCTCCTTGATGCAAGTGTTGTTGGATACTCCAAGCTTAGCTCTAATTAAGAAGCTCAAATATGTATTTCTGTAGCGCTTTTGTAAAACTATCAGCTAGTTGATCTTCACCACAACAATGCAAAATATGAACTTCATTTTCCCTTTCATCTTCTCGAATGGAATGGTATTTGATTTTAATGTGTTTAGTCTTTCCATGAAACATTGGATTCTTTACCATGGCAACAACAAATTTATTATCACAAAGGACTTCAGTTGCTTTGCTTGGATGAAACCCCAAGTCAATCAAGATTTTTCTCCACCATAAAGCTTGATTAACAACACTGAAGGCAGCAACGTACTCTGCTTCAGCTATTGATAGAGCCACGAACCCTTGCTTCTTTGTGCACTAGCAAATGACACCTGATTCGAGAGTGAAACAATATGAAGTGCTTTTCATGTCGTCTTGTGACCTAACCCAGTCACTATCAGTAAACCACAACAATTTCATAGATGTGGTTCTTTTATAAAACAGACCATAATCAATGGTGCCCGAATGTACCTCAAAATTCTTTTGGCTGCTTTAAGGTGAATTTCAATTGGTAAATGCATAAACCTTGATAGCACACTTGTTGCGTACATAATATCATGCCTTGTTGCTAATAAATACAACAAGGAACCAATCAAACTTCTATAAATCGAAGCATTGACCAAACCAGACTCATCCTCCTTCATTACTTTCTCTTTTTGAACTCCAAGCGTACTTACTGGTTTGCATTTGTCAAGACAAAACTTCTTTAATATTTCAGTAGCATATTTCTTCTAAGAAACAAAGATTCCTTGAGAAGATTGATTAACCTCCATTCCAAGAAATAAGTCATTTTTCCCAAATTATTTATGTCAAAGAGCTTCTTCATTTGCTCCCTGAAGTCTGCTGCCAGTCACCAACAGATCATCAACATAGAGAAAAACTAGGAGAAAATCATCATTTTGAAGTCTAATATACAAGGTTGCTTCATTGCAACTTCTCTTAAACCCCAAATTAAGTAAGTAGTTATCGATCCGTGCATACCAGGCCCTAGGTGCCTGTTTAAAGCCATAAAGAGATTTTCTTAACAAATATACATGGTCTTTATCTCCTCTAAGACCTTCAGGCTGCTCTACATAAATTTTCTCTTCAAGATACCCATTAAGGAAGGCGGACTTAAAATCCAATTGAAATACTTGCCACCCATGGTGTGGGACGAGTCTACAAATTGGACTCATTTACGGCTATATTTTGATAGAATTAGTGTCCTCAAATGCATATTTTGTCTCAATATCTGATGAACACCCTTAAGTTTTAGGTATTTGATGTTTGAAGGAAAGCATGGACACTACTTAGCAAAAGGGAACAAAAGTACCTGAATGATCGAAGAAATAAAGATCTGAGAATCGCCGAA